TCAAACACTGCTCAGCAGACAGAATTATTAGTTCCCTCCTACGCTTTTCTGTGGTGCTTATCATTGTCACATATGAATGCTTCACAAACATTAATGGATTTATTTTGAAACACCCCTGCAAGGTGAGGGGGTATTATTATTTATTATCCCCATTTTATAGATAGCAAACTATGGCACAGCAAGATGCCCAATTTGAGACATTTAGGACCTAATATTTTAAAGAGTATTTAGCATTATTTGGCACTTTATTTGTTCAGAACACAGTTCCTATTGAGTTCAACTGTGAGCACTCAGCACTTGTGCAAATGTAACCAGAGGGTCCCAAGTCAGGCACCCCTAAAATGAGGAACGCACAATTAATGGTCCCTGGTGAAAGGTGACTTGGCTACCATCAGAGAGGACCTCTTGGGCAGAGACAGGGATAGAATCCAGTTCTCCAGGGTAGCAATAAACTGCCTTAACCATGAGACTGTCCTTTTTCTTCCTGCAGACCACTGCCTCATTCACTACACACATTCCAACTTCGGCAAAAAAAAAAAAAAAAGAATGGATCCTGTAGATAGCAGTCTCCTTCATTGTGCAATCCTGATTCATTTTCGGAGCAGGTCCATCCAATGCCCAGAATGAGGCAGGGGTCCTGTGAAAAAAAAATGGGCTCATGTAATTAAAGACCATATCGTAATTAGGGCTCTGTGTCTGTCACGGATTCTGTGACTTTTCATGACTTCTGCAGTGGCCAGTAATGCTGACTCTAGGGCTGCCCAAGCACCTGGCTCCGGAGCCAGCTGCTCAGGTTGCTGCTGGAGTGGCTCTTGCAGCCAGCCACTCGGGCGGCCCCACAGCCAGCTGTACTGGCTGCTGCTGGAGTGGACCCGGGGCCAGCCACACCAGCTGCTGCTCGGGTGGTCCCGTGTGGCTAGCCCAGTGACTGCCTGAGCAGCGGGCCCAGGGGCAGCTGGAGCAGCCGCTGCTTGGTGGTCCCTGGCAGGGGTCCTAGGGTGGTCCCCAGCCCCTCCCTGAGCAGTGACCCCCTGGTCCCCTCCCAGTAGCAGCTGCCCCCAGCAGCAGTCTTGGGCGCGGCCAGAGCAGCCGCTGCTCAGCAGCCCCCAGTAGCTGGTGCTCCTGGCATCCCCTCGGGGCGGCACCCCAGCAACATGCCCCTCCCCACCCCCCTCCAAGGTTTAGTCGGGCATTTTTAGTAAATGTCATGGACAGGTCATGGGTTGTGAATTTTTGTTTATTGCCCGTGACCTGTCCATGACTTTTACTAAAAATACCCATGACTAAATCGTAGCCTTAATCATAATGCATATGCAGAAGGGGGCTGAAGTAAGGTTGCTTGGGCAGCTTTAATTTTGGTATTTCCTAACTTTTGGGCGTTTTGACTTTGCATCCTTAATAATGTTTTTTTAACAGAAATTCTGCCATGTAGCATTATACTGACACCCACATGGTTCATCACAGAGCTGGAACCTTTACATCCACCACAGACTTTTGTCCCTTGAGCCAATGGAGTAACTGATAGCAGAAGTAGGTTGTTACCATCTAGGTGGACTGGCACCAATGGGCAATGACACACTTTATTAGTGGATTTCACAGATATTTGCTGTCAGCAGAGGAATGGTGAGACTAAGGATTTTGATTTCTATTCCTTGGTGTGGAAGGGGAGTGTACTCTAGTGGGCACAAACTCTTCTGCCCATTTCCCTCATGCTTGACCCTTCTGCCCTGTCCCCTCCAACTTGTCCCAGTCCTGTCTCTTCCCCACCGCTGGATCCTCATGCCACTCCCATCTCTTCACCTACCCAGTCGTAGTCTCACCCATCTGAACACCCGTGTGCTCTTGCTCCCACTCTCCTTGCCCAGCCATCCCCAGTCCTTCCATTGCTCTTCCCTGGCTACTTGTGCTCAGTCTCATTGTCCAGCCAGACCCTGTTCCTTCCCCTGCACTTGCGCTCTCTCTCTCTCTCTCTCTCTCTCTCTGCCTCCAGTCACATCTCTACTGGCTCCCATACCCTGCTTCTCCGCCAGTTCCTCATCCAATCTCTACTGAGCATATGTGAAATACGATTTGCCAAAGGCTTATCACTTGGCCAAATTCAGATGGATTTTCATGGTCATAGCAATAGGGCACATCCCTGACACAAAGGTCACCTTTGCCAAATGTCAAGTCCTCATTCCAAAGCCTGGAGCACTAGAGCATTCCAAAGAAAAGGTCCCCAGAATTTTTTTTTAACATAAGAGAAAAATGTATCTTTCTCTAATCTCATTCGTGGTAATAGCTGAACAGTTTGGCTGAAATATTTCCAGAAGAGTTCAGGCTGAGGTAGACACCTGTCATGGAAAATTTCAGCCCAAACAGTGAATTTGGCAAAGTTATAAGCAATTGAAAATCGGGTCTGATTACGGGAAGTTTTGGGCAGTCTTAGTAATTAATAAGCAGTGCTATCAGCCTCACCTATGATGAATGTATGGTCTCTCTCACTGTCTCTCTCTCTCTCTCTCTAGTTCTTAGTGGACAGATGTATCTATTATAAAGCTCTGTAATCAGAGTGGGCACTAATTGGCATCCTTCTTGGCTGAATCAGCAGAGAGCCTAAGAATGGTCATAGATATTGAATTTACCTCTCACCACTAAAGAGAGTTCCTAGGTCAAGGTTGATGCACATTGCCAAGGGAGTGTAAGGTTCAGACTATAATAAATAGTTGGCCACATTGTCAACAAGGATCTCGATACATGTACAGTTTTGTCGGTGCATTTGAATTTTCCTATGTGAATCAGGTAGTTAGATGTCTAATTACTTTATTTGTATTCACAGTTGCCCTTTGATGCAAATATTACTCTTTGTGGTTTGCATACTTGGAGCCCATTTAGAAAACTGGGCTTTCTGTATTTCTTACTCACAAATAATTTTATTCTGTCAGTGTTTGTATGCTGCATAATAAATTTTTATATGTAGCCTAAAATATACACACAGAATTAAATCACATTTTGACTGTTGGTACATTTTTATTGTTAAGACTAGGTTGTAAATTTATTTGGTAGTAACGTATTAGATTTATCTCCTCAAATGAAAATAGACCACTAAAAATAATGGGCATGTCGGCTGCCTAGGACAATTTTATTGCTAGTTATTGCTAAAGCATACTGCTGAGGGAAAGATTGTGAATAAGTCAGAATCATTTTCCTTCATAAGCTTTTAACAATCACTTTTCTTTTATTATGATAAAGAATAAATATAATCTAATTTTTCAGAGTTACATCTAAGCAGTGCACAAAATGTACCATTGGTTCTGGAAATAGTTGGACTTAATTTGTTTACAGGTTAAAGGATGGAGGAAAGGAATATTTTTGATGTGGATAAGAACAATGAGAGTGATCCAGACGAGGGGGATGACATTGATGATAACTTTACCTATATTGATCTATCATTTGGTGGTCTCAAAATGCTGTACTAAGCAGGGCAGCCCAGAGGATTCAGGGGGTCTGGGGCAAAGCAATTTTGGGGGCCCCTTCCATAAAAAAAAGTTGCAATACTATAGAATACTATATTCTCGTGGGGGCCCCTTTGGGCAAATTGCCCCACTTGCCCCCCCTCCCCCGCTCTGGGCGGCCTGGTACTAAGTGGCATATTCTTTGTGTACGAAAACATTTGATAGTATTTTCTGCCGTTCTCTTTTGCATATTTTTAGAAAGATTTCATATACTTCTGAGAGGCAGTTGTCCAAGAAAATTGTGTGGGCTTCCTTCTTTGAGTTGCCTTTACCTTTCAACCCATTATTTTCTCTAAATCCCTCTCTCCAGTTCCCCATACTTTTCCTTATTTAGAGATGGACCTTCTGAAGTCCCCATCATTGTAACTCTGTGGATCAAGAAATGCTCTGTTAATAATGCATCCAGCACCTCTCTCTAAAGCAGTGACTCCCAAACTTTATTCATTCATGTACCACCACCTTATACGTTGTTGTGAAGTGAATTGATGGAACGCCAAGATCATATATCACAATTTGGAAGCCCCTGCCTAGAGGTGAACATTATCTTTGCCCAGTTTCCCCTGGACTGCTATGTGGGAGTTCACTTATCTTTTTTTCTCTTTTTAAATGTTCTATCTGTATTAATTTTTCAAGGAAAATACTGAACAGAGCCAGTGCATGACTACAAGATCAGTATGTACTAGTTACAAATATAATCTAAAAAATTTAATTTAGTGATGACATGTATCTGCCATATTATAACTGCTGTAATGCATCCATGTGACAGAAAATGTTAGTGAATTCCCCCCCCCCCCCCCCAGTTCACATTGTCCTTTTTTCCTATGCTCTGCTGTCTTATATTCACATCAGGGGTAGGCAACCTATGGCACGCGTGCCGAAAGCGGCACGCGAGCTGATTTTCAGTGGCACTCACACTGCCCGGGTCCTGGCCACCCGTCCAGGGGGTTCTGCATTTTAATTGAATTTTAAATGAAGCTTCTTAAACATTTTAAAAACCTTATTTACTTTACGTACAACAATAGTTTAGTTATGTATTATAGACTTATAGAAAGAGACCTTCTAAAAACATTAAATTGTTTTACTGGCACGCGAAACCTTAAATTAGAGTGAATAAATGAAGACTCGGCACACCACTTCTGAAAGGTTGTCGACCCCTGATTTACATATTAAGATGCTTTAGTAATGTTCCTAGCTTTTAGCAATATAAAACACTTGTTCAAAATAAAATGGTGCATGTTGCTGTTCACGTTCTCAAAAGAATAGGGAAGAAGATACACCTGGACATTTTTATCTGTATATGAATAAAAGAATTATCTTACTGTAGGTGTAGCAATTTGATCATTTACATGTTGCTATGTATTAAAAATAAATGATGCTTTTTTGGTAACCTGTAGAGGTTAATTATTAGATACTTATTTCATCACTGTGTAAAAGAACCTTTGTACTTTTTGCATCGTCAGTAATTTAATATGAGTGTATTTAATACTTTTTCTCTTATTATACTAGCAACCAACTTCTGTAGCCGCATCTGCTGTCCACCTGGGACTTCCAAGGCAAGCCAAAGTTGTACAGTCAACTGCTACACCAGTTAGTGCTACATCTACTGCAACCTTACATGGAGGCTCCACTCTGTCGCACACTACAGTAAGTATTAAAAGTGTTACCAGCACAACACGAACAAAAATGAATGCCGATGCAACCAGTAATATAGGTAAGGCTTTCTAAATGAGTTCTGGTGATAAATAATATACTACTTGTATTACAAACAGGAAAAAAATGAGTTTTATCCATGAGTTTATTTTCCAAATATAGTGAGGGCGAAACTCACTGCCATTGGGAGTTACACATACTAATGCCAGTGGTAAATTTGCCCCTCAAGTTCTCTAATGTGAAAGAGCCAGATTATACCACCCACATTCCTGTCTAGTAATACATTTCTCTTTGAACAGTTCCATTGAAATTAAAGGAACCACTCAAAAAGTAAAGTAACATGAGTAAGGTGTAACACATTTGGGCCCTCAAATTGTAACCTTAAGGAAGAATATTTTCTTGTTGTAATAAGCTGCTAAACTCAGCAGTAGAAGGGAAGTGTAAGTTTGCAGTTTTGGGGTTTTAAAGATTTATTATCGAATAAAAGATATTAAAGAAGGTAATTATCTGCTTTTTGATTATAACAATGTTATCAGGTATCAATAGCTACCACAAGTGCTCAGAACTTAATTAAAGCAACAGTAGCAACTGGAACCCCAGCAACTCAACAACCTACAGTAATTTTTGGAGGACAAACTCAAACCCCAGTACAACCCCAAGGTCAGCCTCGATTGCCACTTCCACCTCATACGACAGCACAAGTACCAGCACAGCCCCAGGTCATACCTAGCTCTCCTGTACCAGGGACTACCGTTGTATCACAGGTTTGTATGTAAGTTCTGGAATGTTTGAATGTTAGAACATTAACAGGGATTTTGTTTCTTGGTTATGTGTGCACTTTTCAGTTTTATTTAATACCAGGAAGAGCTTTCACACCAACCCAATTCCCATAACATCCTGTTAGTGGCCTCCTTATACATTCTGTTAAGAACACATTTTAACTAAATGCTTTGACGGACTAGCAGTGATCTTGACAGTTAACTTGGCCAACTTTGTCCAAGTGTTGTGCAGTATAAGGAGTATTTCTGTAACTGGAACAAATAGACCTCTAATTATACTGCCCAACTCCATTATTATGACTGTGTGCATACACAGGTTGTTCTATAATATCAGTGGCCTTGTCCTCAGTATATGGCAAAGTGACAGTTTTAAAGGTCATGGTGGGTTAAGATTAGAGCATGTGTTATAGTAAACTGATAAAATAAATTGGGATTTAGACATGATAATATTTGAAATGTATTTATTTATTATTTGATTTGTTTGTACAGTTGATGTTATATTGAATAGTAATTTAAAAAGTTAAAAAATAGGAAAAAGAAACCGTGAATTCAGTATTTGCCATCTCAGTGATTGCTTGGATTTTTGACATTTCATGATGGTTTTTTATCATGTAGGGTTAAAGTTCCATGAAAGATATAATGAATGATAGCATATCAGACATGAAAAATAAATATTTCTGTGATTAATTTAGTTAGTAACTGTATGGTATGACTATTAGTGATTAAATGGAAGTGAAGATAGTGCCAAACTACAGCGGCAATAGCCAAATAATTGAAGACACTTCTCAAATTGCTTTTATTTGGATAAGAAATGTTCTAGTTTTCCCATTATTTTCATGTATTAGTCTAAGCAGTGAACAATATCAAAATACTATGTATATCAGATTTTTTTTTTTAAACAGGAAATGCAAGAGAATGTGAAGAAATGCAAAAACTTTTTAGCTACCCTGATAAAACTTGCTTCCCATAATTCACCTTCTCCAGAAACATCCCATAATGTGAAAGCTCTGGTTCAGGATTTGCTGGTAAATGTTAAGCTGTGTTAATTGATATTGTACGTGCTGTTTATAGATGCTGAAAATTGTTACTGAATTTGATACTCATCTATTTTTAGCTTCTGCTTGCAGTACAGAAATGTTGAAAGGTAAAAGTGTTGCATAAAAATGGTCATACAAATTTTTCTGCACTGAATGCAACCTCACAATTGATAATCAAGCTGTATTTTCTTTTGCTTGTAGTGGGTTAAAATGCTGATTAATGTCACAATATTTAATAAACATGAACAATACTTTTGTTTTGATGTATAATATTTTGATAAAGTTTATTTAGAAATATAATAAATATGTTTTGTGAGAGCTCTCTGTGGCTCTGATCCTGTAAGCTGTGGTCTCTTATGTCACGATTAAAGTCCCATTCAAGTAATTTGGGCTCTGTAGGGATGTAGGGATCTGCCTTTCCGAAACAGCTTGCAGGATCGGGGACTAACTGAAACATTTTTCTAAGAAGTCACTAAGGCCAAGATTCTGTAAACAGATCCCTGGGGGTCTTTTTGCAAGAGTGGGGCCTGAATGCCTGTGGATTTCAAAAATTCCAAACTTAAACAAAATGACTTACGTGACCGAAATAGTATTTTCAGTAGATGGAATCTGTGTGATTGGTCCTGCAGAAAAACTGACTTATGGTAGCCTCCAGTACTACAAATATTTCAGTGTACACTATAGAACAGATATACACTGCAAACAGACTTTATCAAAGGCTTTGACAAATAGTCAAGCTCGCATTGTTTGTGTCTGCAAAGGAATATGCACCTGAAAGAAGAAGATGGTCTTGAATTGATCATCAAGGAACACTTGCACATTTTAAACATTTTGATTTGGAAAGTCTAAGACTCTTTATCACATAAAAGTGATTCAACAAAAATATTAGTGGTTCCAATAAAAATTAGTTTGAACTTTTGAAAACTAATAGTTTTAAAGAATTAAAGTTTAAAACATTGAAAAATAAATATAGCAGGTATATTTTGTTTCTTCTCTACTATACTATATTAACCACAGAGAGTCTCAAGAGTAGGATAGCTGAATCATTAGACCACCTATAAGTATTTAACTAATGATAGTTTCAGAAACATTAAAAATGTACTTAGCTTCAATAGATCCTTCATCTTCACTAATAAACATACATACATATAATTCTTCTATTTTAAATCTTACTTCCAAAATTCTACTTGTTCACTCATCTGGGTGGTGGTGTTTTTTAACCATCGAATAAAGTATCTTTTTCTTATTTTGTGCCAGGGCTAGTAAATGTTATAATAGTTTTTCAAGGTTGTTTTTAAATACCAATTTTTGGATTAGTATTTTAAAGAAATCACTGTCTGAAAGTTATCAACAGAATGGAAGTATTGAATGAAGACTTGCATGTTTGTGGGATCCAGTTGTTTCTTTAAGTGTGCATCCCTGAGGGAGTTGCATACATAAAGGTCACAGATTCCTGAGTTCTGAGAAGCACTGTGTGTATGTATGTATGTGTGTGTGTGTGTGTAATATATATATATATGTGTGTGTGTATATTAGTTCTTGATAGAAAGATTTGATAGCCGTGGATGAGTTTGAGAGACTTTAAACTTTAAAAGTCCCTGTTGATCTGTGGCTTATCTATTGAGATATATAAATATTTCCACAATGTTAGCCTGTCCTAGTATATGTTCTCATTCTTTGAGAAAACAGAAACATCCCAAATAGTTATTTTTTTCTTTCTCCCCTCCAGGATGCAAAGATTGATCCAGAAGAATTTACAGGCTGCCTTCAGTCAGAGCTGAAATCATCTCCTCAGCCATATCTAGTACCTTTCCTGAAGGTGAATATCAATATTGTTTAGATCTTAAATGTATCTACCGAATAGGCTTCCTTACTTCAGGTTTAAATTTTTTTAGAATGTACAAACTAGCACACAATATGTAATCAGTTTTGACTGTCTAGAACATTTTAGTTAAAATCACATAGAAAAAGAAGACAAACTCTAATTCTCTAATTTAGAAACATAAATATTCTGTGGGTTACTTGAATATTATATTCCTATATTTAAATGGAAAATGTGAAGAAATGGGTTGTCTTTGGCAGCTTTATTACATCACATTTAATATAGGTAGTTAAAGACCACCCACATGACTTTAGGTATCTTACTGTTGTAATGGGTTTACCTTTCTATGACAAATAAACACAGTATTGTCTATAATAAAATACACCAGTCAGAAGTGGATGGTAGGTTACTTCACCAGTATGTTTGTAGTACCCATGTTGAGATACTTTATTCTAGTGCTTTTGTCTTGTCTAAATAAGAGCAATCAAGTACATTCAGTGTACATGGCAGTGTGTAAGGGAGATTACTAAACGCTTCTTTGGAACATGCTGTTGCTTTGTGTTGAAATAATTGATTAGTAAATTCTGTCAGGGTGGTCCTCTTGGGGCAGGGCTCACCTATAATGAGGAACATCGGGAGAAATATTATAAAATGTGGTATCAAATGGGATTGTTTCTTGTACCCCCAAATTAGCATATGCGGTTAAATTTTGTTTGCCTTACTTATTCAAAACTATCATTGACTTCCAGCTGCTTACCTATGTGAGCAGAGTAAGCAGAATTTGGCGCTCTGGTACTCAACATTAGCTCCTAGATGTAAAACATGCATGTTTTGTTGTTCACCCACATCCCAGTTATCTTGGTTTTCTATTTTTCTCCCAATTTGCAATCTGTCAGTTTAGGGCAGAATTTTCCTCTCATTTTTTAATTCTTCCTTTCCTTTCCTTTCCTTTCCTTTCCTTTCTCCTCTCTTCTCTCCTAAGATATAATTAACCCTTTCTTTTTACTCTCTTCCCTGCTTTCCTCCTTCAGCCATCTCTGGCAAAAAGTTCTAACTTCTTCCCTTTCTTTGAAGTCATTTCTTGGCAACAACAATTACGTTTTTAAATAAAAAACAAAAGTTAAAAGTGACTACAGCCTGGGGTAAGCACTGCGAAAGCCTGCAGCTGCCTGGAGGAGCACTTCAAAAGAACATAATATAAAAAGTAAAAAGTTTATTCATAAAATACAGTGTACTCTTTTAGAACTTTTTTTTGGATGAACCAGTCTGAACATGAAGCACACAATAGCACACTTTTCTAATGAAGTCAGTACAGTACATCAGTAATAATACAGTACGCAGCTATTGCCCTAAGACACCCACAATTAATCTTCTGGCTTTAGGTACTCCATGTGGAGAGGACTTCAGTCCTAGGAGGGGTGCAGTTTACTTCTGGCAGCACACAGTGGGAATGGAGCTCATTTCTGCCCTTCCACTTTTCCCCATCCACTTTTTGCTTCTCACAGGATCTAAATCCATGCTTCAGGTAGTCCTAATGCGCTGCTGGTTTTGGGGCCTTACTCCCCTGTGTGGTGGGATTAGGGTAGGTCAGGGGTTGGCAATGTTTGGCACGCGGCTCGCCAGGGTAAGCACCCTAGCGGGCCGGGCCAGTTTATTTACCTGCTGACGCAGCAGGTTCGGCCGATCGCGGCCCCCACTGGCCGCGGTTCGCCGTCCCGGGCCAATGGGGGCGGCGAGAAGCCGTGGCCAGCACATCCTCGGCGAACCTGCCGCGTCAGCAGGTAAATAAACTGGCCTGGCCCGCTAGGGTGCTTACCTTGGCGAGCCGCGTGCCAAACGTTGCCGACCCCTGGGATAGGTCATACTGAGCCCACCGTGTTGACCAAATTAAAAATTAATAACTTGTGATGAGATCCATGCTGAATTTTCCCCTCTTCATATAAAATATGAAGAATGTACAAGTTTATTTCTCCTGAAGTGCTAGACAGGTCATACAACTGGTTTTAAAGATTTATGCTTTCCAGTGTGTGTATACATTTCAAAAACAGACTCTTTTTTTGATGGTTTAGTAAGTTTGATTTTTTTCCCCATTTTTCTTCTTTTTATTTTTTTTTTATTATTATTATTATTTTTTTTTAGAAAAGTCTGCCGGCATTGAGACAATCTTTATTGAATAGCCAACATTCGGTTTTGCAAGGACAGCCATCTCAGCAGCTGCTTCAACAAACCAAGCTGTCACAAGTTATACCTCAACCTGCCTCTGGAAGTATTTCCTCTAATGTCACAACTCAGACAGTAGGAATAAGGCAACCAAACAGCATTTGCACATTTGTATCAAATACAGTTCAGCCTCCTCAGGTTAAACTAGTACAGTCAAATCCGAGTTCTCAACTGGTAGGTACTAAAACATAAAGGAAAACTTCTAAATAGGTTGAATAGTGGTTTTAAAGTTACTCTTTATTTCTATTATTACATTCTAATTTGGAAATACTTCTGTTTTTCATTATCTTGTCTTTCTGATATACTATGTTAGGTACTGATCCTACAAAGATTTATGCGCATAATCACCTTTATGTACTGAGAGTATTCCTATTAATTTTAATGGAAGTACTGACACTGTATAAAGCTAAGGATGTGCATAAGTCTTTGCAGGATCAGGGCTTTCATTTCTGGGACATTGAGATTTTTATATAGTTGCAGTGGATACTTACCTAATTACAGCAGTACAAGAAAGCTAGCTTTTTAAGACTCACAGGAAGAATTAAGATTTTAAAGATGATCATGCAATCAGTGTTAAATTATTCTGCTTTGATTAGATTTTAATTTGATTTAAAATGAAAAAGGGAGAGTTCCTTTTTAAACTCTTCTGTACATTTTTAATTAGAAAACTATGGAGAAGAAAAGAATTTTACTGTACCAATCAGCGTGGTCTAGCCAGAATACCAAAATGTTATTCCCCACTTCTGCTTACACTGAATAATATCCTACTACATGCACACAGCCCCATTGATTTCAATGGGACTGCTCATGTAGTAAGATTCTACTCACTGTGGATAATAAGGGTGGTACCATTGGGCCCATGGTATATAGCATATATAGCCTTGTATATATATTTTTTCAGTTTCTACAAAAGCCTAAGTCTAATGATATGGCAGTCCATTATTGTCTTTCTTAATCACTTTTGTGAAATGGTGAAAAGTATTTCTTTGTTTGCAGTTCACATGTATATGTGAGTATAGTACACAACTTTGGTTTAAAAATTAGGATGAGCAAATTTGAATGTATTCTCTTAAGCTGATGGAATTCTGCTTTATCAGGATTCTAAAATGCAAGTATAACAGCTTTGTCAGAACTTGTTAGTCACATGACTGTTCCTTGAAATAGTAGGCTCAGGAAAGGAAATAAATAGATGGATGACAAAAATCTATTTTAAATGTTTAACTTTAAATAGTTTATTTAATTAAAATGTAACAATGCACAATTTTTAAATACACGTTTGAGCTCCATGTCATTTGGACAGTACATATGCTTCTTAAAACAGTTTAATCATTAACTTTTAAAATCTAAAATAATTATTTTATCGTAGGAGTAGCAAAGTCCTAGGAGAACAGTTGTAGTGAACTATATGAACTTTTTGAGATGCTGAGATACTTGACCTTATCTTTTATAGTAAACATGAGACATGTGGATGTGATCTTGAATCTGGACTTTGCTGCTGTTGCTCCTCTCTTTTAACTGTGTGAATTCCCTCCTCTGTAATAAGGAAAACCTTTTCTGGAATGTTGTATTATTTAGAACAGAATGGTACAGAGTAGCAATATGAATGCCTCCTCAGTCATCTGTTAACTTATTCTGTACATACAACTTCATTTCCAAACTAATGTATCATAGCTGACAACTTAAAAAGTTTTAAGCACTGGTTGGTTGGGCCATGCAATATGACTGTTCTGTATTGTGAATTGGTAAAATGACTATTGTTAGGTACATGTTTTAATCTCATTTGGAGAAATGAAATAACTGCTGTAGTCTCATGAAGTAGCAATAGCTGCAAAGGCAGAAGGTTGCATCTTGACTTGCCAGAAAAAGTGTGTTCTAAGGACTACTACAGGATGGAAATACATTTAGAAAACATACAGAAACGTTTCATTATATAAAGAAGAGCTTTATATAAATCTAAACTTCTTTGTCTGTTGCTTAGTAGTAGTATGGCTGATTGAACTGAATCTCAGGTTAACCAAAGCCCTGCTATATCGCCTAGATTGTGCTATATTGGTTAAGTCAGCATCTGATGACAATCATTGTACTAGGTTATCTGAGTTACCACAACAACCACTGTTCTAATTCCAGGCAGACACTTCAATGCAACTGTGTGGTAACAGAAATATTGACCTTTTAATGGTGAACATTGTGCATTCTTCACAGTAGTCTGTGTTCCCCAAACCCAGAGCACAACAAGAACCCTTGGCCAGATTGCCCGAGACAGACGGACAGAGGAAAATTACAGCTGGCCTGCCTAAAGCTGACCAGTGCTTAGGGAGAAAGCAGGCTGGGCTTCAGATTCTCTAGCCTTGGAGCTCACCGAAGAGAATTTCAAGTTTTGCAGACTGTCCAGCTGAAGGGGGCAGAACTACTTGGAGTATAGCCTCTTTAGAGCCAGCCTGTCTACAGAGTCATTCAGTGCCTTCTAAAATTAGGGGAGCCAGTCTACTAGCTCTCTCTCTTGATTTTTACAAAGGAGTCAGAGATTGAGGTGTCTCTGAAACCTTTGGACACTCATAGTTGTAATATATAGCTATTCTATAATATAGGTATTTCAGGGCTCCCCAGCCTCACTTAGTCTCTTATCCTGCATTGAGGCAGTAGACTTTTCTAAAGTCCTGCATTAGCTTAAACTCTCATTCTGTGGAAGTCACTGGTCAAACTCCCATTAGCGTCAGTGCCAACAAGATTATGCCAATGCTGAGCAATCTTGAAAGTCCCACGCAGAACCAGTTGAGTTTGTTGTTTTAAAGTATTTTGTGAATTTCTCCTCAAATTGAAGTTGCATCAAAATAATAAGAAAACAGTTTTCTTGTTTTCTCATTTAAGAAAGAGATATGGAACAAAAAATTTATGGCATAATCAAGATGTTGCCGCAAAGCTGAAGTGAGATTGGTAGCACCATTTTAGATGTGTGAGGGGGTGCTTTAGTATACATTTTCATCTGTGGGACCATGTACAGTTGTGGTGCATGAATGTAGAAATCAATAGGAGACAAAGAAAACTTCAGTTTTAAAATTGTATGATGCTGCTGATGGATCAAAGAGGAGATAATGATACCGCCTTTGTAAAGCACCTTGAGATCTGCGGGTGAAAGACCGAGGTGGTGGTATTAATTCCTGCTAGCTAAGGAAAGCTGGATGGAATCTTTGATTAGGTTTTCCTTTCGATACTGAAAAATTATTGATGAGTGACTAATGTGATGAGCCAAAAACCTATTTATACACCTACATACTTGATCTAAGCCACAGTGTTCAAGGTTTGAGTAAACTCTGAATACTTTGGGGCTGGAACTGTGTATTCATGTATGTGGACAGTACTTAGCACATTATGGGTAGTACAGGTAAAAAATAGTGATAGAACTATGAAACCAAACAAGGGCAGTTTTTCATATTTGTTGACCCTATTGAAGCTGTATGTAACATATCTAGTGGTGATAATCCAGCTGTGTGTTGCATTGTATGTATTGTGTTTCTAAGGTTAGATTGAGAGATCCGTGCTATCAATACCATCCTTTTTTGCTATTGGACAACTTGGCTGTAGAATAAATTTTTCCTTTTGGTTTTGATTAATTTGGGTGTAGGCATATGATTCATATTCACTTGCTATGTTAGATATGGACTTGCTGATAAAAGAGGAAACACTGCAATATGATAAGAAAGGGCTTCAAGAAGTATCGTCAGTTCTAGGGGTTGGACAGCAAACCTGGAGGTCTCTAGTGACAGTAGGAATGTTAGCTTTCAGACCGTCTTTGGTAAAAAATCTGAGTTTAAATACAAAGAAATATAAATGTGTAACCCACATACCTCCTGGGTGAGGTGCTCTATCCCATCTAGTGGCACCGAGACCACTTAGAGAGATTGAGAGAGAGAGAGAGTAATGAGCCTGCTCTACAGCCTTAGCTAACAGCCATATGGCTTTTAGATCATACAGTAGAGGCTCATGCACTAAGCTCCAGAGGTCCTAGATTCAGTCCCACCTGCTGACAACCGGGGTTATAAATGTAATGCCTGTGTTCTGAGTTCTTGGTTAGGAAATGTGTGTTTTCTGAAAACAGTGCATGTTGTCCAACAGGGATAACTAGAACTTACTAGCGGCAGAGGCGGATTTGTGAGGCCCTGGGCCAGAGCAAGTGGGGGGCCCCTCCCCATCCCTTCCACCTGCAGTCCCCCCTCACACACACCCCTGCGCTCCTGATGGGGAAATGGGGTTGGGGCATGGGGGCTTCCCCCACCCGACTGGTGCTCCTGGCAGGGAGCAGAGTTGGGATGTGGGGGCTTCGTTTGTCCACCTGGTGCTCCTGCTGGGGAGCAGGGTCGGTATGCGGAGGCTTCTCCTGCTTCCTGGCAGGAATGCCAGGCGGATCGGGGCATGGGAGTGCCCATTTTTCTGGGCCCCCCCAGTTGGCCGGGGCCTCTGGACATGGGCTCCGTTGGCCCAGTGGCTAATCTGCCACTGCTTATCGAAACAATATTTGCTCTGAGATATTTCTTAACCATTATGCCAGCCTTGGGAATGCTACTAAGTCAGTGGAATAATGTGAAATTAGAAGTAAAATAAAATGGCAGACCATGGTATGGGGATTTTGCTTCCACCCCCACTACTCTACTGAAATCTTTGGTTTTGGGTCTTTAACGTTGAGCTGGTAGATTCTGAAAGCATTTTGGAGATTCAGTGGACACCACTCTCCTCTACTTTCTGTTTGGAAGACAGCTGGGATTGATCATTAGGTATCTACTGGTTTAAAGGAAGATTAGAGGAAGTTCACTGAAGGCGATAAAGTGGCTTGTATTAATGAACCAATGCATATAGTCCTGTCACTGAACTAAAATGAGTGTATAATAAATTTGAAATGCAAATAATCAGTGAACAGTAGATATTTAAAAGGCATTAATGCAGAAAGATACCTAGACATGACAATGGACTGGAAATTTGATACATATTTGCAATGTAAGCCAGTGGCGAAAAGGCAAATGTGAATTTGGTGCTATAATACTGTGGACCATTGGGGTGGCCTTTATCCACCAATGGTGGCACTTCCCTAAAAATACAACATTCAGTTTTGGGTACCTTAATATATATATAAAAAAATCAAATTAAATAGAATTCAGAAAATTACAAAAATGGTGATTAAGGGACAGATTTAAGAGGAAAGCTTAAGAGAATTAAATAAATATAGCTTGGTCAAACAATGACTAAAGGGGAACATGAAAAACGTTTACAAATATTTTAAGGGTTTAAACATTAAAGTAGGGTGATAAATTATTTAGAGTGATCCAAAAGAGTATAAATAGGAATAAAGGGATAAAATTAAGCAAAATAGTATTTAGGCTGAATATAAGGGAAAATATCCTTACCATAAGATTTATTATTAGATTGTGGAATAGTCTCCCAAAGGAAGTGATGAAAGGCCCATTGCTTGAAACATTTAAAAGTAGACTAGAGAATATATTATAGAGAACAATCTTACAGGACTTACATGACCTAATAGTTGTTTTTTTTTTTTTTCATTTCTGTCTTCACTGATTCTTTGAAAGAGTATATCCAGTAACACCGTATTGGTCAAGGTGGAGAAAAAGAAGCTTTTACTAGAAGATGCTGTCTGTTTGATTTTTTTTTTTAATTTTTTTTATTAATGTGAGGGGAGAAAACACAATTGCATATGCAATTTTACAAGCATCATTTTTGAGGAAAGTTGTAAAAATTTGGCCCTGGATAGCAACATTAATGTTATATATGAAATCTAAACCCACAAAAGCAAGATAGAAGTGAGTTAATGCTGCCAGATTACATGATAGCTAAGGTTTGATATGACATTTATCTTCAGGAGTGAGTAGACTGATAAATCACAAGTGGCATAGCCACAAGTGAGTTAGCAAGTGTTTACTCATGAGTGAAGATAAATGTCATATCAGACCATAGCCAATTTGTACTGTGTGCATATACAAGTTAAGTGGCTTATTTATTTCTCCCATAATATTTTCTCACTTAATTATGAGAAAAAAAGAAAAAATACCAAGCAGAGAATATTGTATTCAGAATTGTATCATTTCCAGTGTGTTTATTTCCTATGCTGTTGCCTTTATTGCTATGTTTTGCATATAATTGTGTGAAAACATTATTTGTTAGTTCAGTATGCTCAAGTTGCTGGCTGAGGTGCTTCTGTGTAAGACTTGTTTTAATGCACAAAGGGCTGGATTGTAACTTTAAAACCCAGGCCAACTAAAGGGCCAGCTGACACAGGAGGTTGTACTATGCCCACTCCCTGCCCAGGGGAGTAGCAGCCTGCTATTAGATGCTCTTTGCCATGTGTAGGCTATGCAGATAGTATGGACAGGGAATAATGGGGTTCCCTTTCTTTTAAATAATTTTGTTTTATTATTTAAATTTGGCGATACTTTTTATTTTCACTTTATTTTTTCTGCTCTCCACCCCAGTATATTTACCTTCTTTTATACTCCCTACCTCACTTTCATAGAGAACTGTCCTCTGCACCCTCTTCTCCACTCCTGTTGTTCCTGTTGTCCCACACCCTTTCTCTCTCTGTTAAGCCACTCTCAATAATTGCCTTGTCTTTGTTATCAAACCTTCTCAGCTCTTTAAAATCTGTCATTTTACATCATTTCAGAGGAGAGTAGAATGTATCAGGAAATGAAGACAGGTATTGATGTCATAGAGAGGAGAAGTTTACCTGCTATCACCAGAGTAAAACTTAGTTTGAAAGAATATTGTGAGTATGGTGACTAGAGAGAGGTGTGGTTGAGAAAATTAGCTTTTCTGCCTTTCAGATCAGAGTATCCTATGACATTGTGGACTATTGTCTTCCTGCCTATTAAAACCCACTTGTTCTATGTCTAGTGGTAATTCCTCTGCATCAAGATGCATTCAAATTCAGTTCTCCTTTCTCTTAATATTTTCAGTTACCAAGCTCCTCTTTTTCTTCTAAATCGTGTTTTTCTACCTTGAAGTTTGGCTGATGCTCTGATGATAATTGTCTTTAATGACTCTTCCCTATTCACTCATTGCCTGTCTTGGTTCATCCAAATGCTTTAAAGGTAGAAGTGTTTCTCTTGGGCAAAAGGAGCATTCCCAAATACATGCAGCTGCTCTGTCTCCCAGCTTAACAGAGACCTCTGTTTTTTCCCTTCTGTGTCCATAAGTGTAGCTGCCTCCTTTTTCATTGAACTTTCTTGTTCCCTCCCACTTTTCCTGTTTTTTCAAGTTGGTTTCCCCCCCCCCCCTGTAACATTGCTTGTGTACACAGTTATGATGACTCCTCATCCATGCATGTCTTTGTCTCTTCTCAGATAGACTATGGCCTCCCATTTCTCCAAATTCCAGCATGTACGGAATGCTGCTGCCTGTCTTCTCCCACGTACAAAGAATCACGATCACACATCATGCCCATCCTTATACTCCTCCACTGGCTCCTCATTAATTTCAGACACAATTCAGAATTGCCCCCCTTGTTTTGAAAACTACCTGGTCTTACTTTAGCCTACCCCACCAACCATGTTTCATTCAGTTCCTCTTCACACTCCCTCTGCTTAACTAGTCCCAATCTCCTTCCCTCTTCCCACGATTTCACTGCTTATGATGCAGGAATCTTTTGTTCAATTTCTGGTGATGGAAACCTTTCCTTTATCTTCCTACCTCCATTCCTTCTCCGTCTATTTTCAAAACTAAATTTGGAAACATAATTTCTCATTTTCACTGTATTTATAATCCTGCAAAATTCCTTTTTAAGTCTGGGATTTGGCCTGTATAGTTGTAAGATGTTCTGGGGTACAGTTTGTAAGAATGATGCTGATGATCCAAACAAAGATGCATTGTTTCCTGTTTGCTCTGTGTAACATATTAAATTAGGTTGCAATCTGAATTGTAGTACAGTCATCCTGCAGGAAATGTTATTGATTTTATATGAGAAAGAGAGAGAAACTGCTTCCACTTTAAAGGATGGTAATGATACAGCCATGATTGTGAAGGTTGTGTGAGTCGTGATGTCTTCAGGACCCTGAGTTGTCTGTGTAGCTTTATCTTCAACCAGTCATGGCTGTGTCATTACCGTCCTTTAAAGTGGATGCAGTTCCTCTCTCTCTCTCTCTCATACAAAATCATTAAACTTTTCTTGCAATTTTTTTAGTTTATTTATGGATTTCGTCTCCCTCTGAGAAAGCCACGTGTACTTGACAGTCTGCTGTTCTACATCTGTGCTATCCTGTTCCTGATATTATGAACATGTATTTTGATATCATTGAGACGTGACCCTCGCAGATTTTGTTGTTCTGTTTTTATTTATAAGGGATCAAGTTGAAAGGTTCTTATCTCGTTCTGACTTAATTGAGAATTTCAAAAAGGGCAATAGGCTTTGGCCCAAGATTAATTGTAGCAATAAAATTCTCTGATTTTAAAAATAAATGGCACAAGGTAAAAGCTGACACAGTGACTATAAAAAGTCCCTGTTTCCCATTTTTGCGTGTGTGACTGCAAGTCTTGCATAACCACTTGAGATTTAACGTTTAATATTTATTAAAAATGCAGAGGTGTACTAACAAAAATAGTAAAAAAGGGAAAAGCCTATGGGGCAGTAGATGAACACCACTGAAACTAGTAACCAGTATGAAGAGAGAGAGAGTGAGAGAGAGAGAGACACACACACACACACCCACCTTAATATGACTTTTGTCACCAGCTGGCTGTGCTTCTGGAGACCCCCCACCCCCCACCCCCCCCTTAATATGACTTTTGTCACCAGCTGGCTGTGCTTCTGGAGACCCACATGCTTATATTAGTAATTATACATGTTAATTTATATATACGCTGTGTGTGTTTGTGTATAAAGTATAATATAAGTATACTTTTTTTCAATAATACCAGATCATCCAGTCAACATCTGCTCAAACTGCGAAACGAAACCCTGCTTGCCAGACTACCCAGATTAGGATGCCAGTGGTAATAACTCAGACCATTAGACCACAAGGTATGGGTTTAAATGTTCTAGTGAGCTTTACATTTGTATGAATTTAATTGTAATTTTATTACAAAGTAGTAGCATGGGGAAAACTGAGAGTTGACATTGGGAGGCTTGACATTACATTTTACATTTTCCTGGCTGAAAATGCATGTTTTCACTATATAATTTTGACATATTTTTCAGACTGATATAGCTAACTGTTTTATAACTACTAATTTAAGGCTACATCCTAAATTGCCTAGGTTGCACTCAGCAGTTTCTTGTGTGACGGTCCGAATGAAGTGAGGGATATGGTTTTTACTGTTTTATTGTATGACCTTTTCCCCTCGTGTGGGAAAGACTTTCTTCACTTTTCTGATGCAGCCCTGAGAATGCTTTGGTTTAATCTCCCTGCTTTATCTCTCACCCTTGAGGCCACACATTGTAGCCACTGTCTTTCCAGCTGCAGAGGACCAGGTAGGACCCCTTTGAGAAACTTTTCAGCTATATGCCTTTCATCTGCCACCAATGTCACTTTTTGTGATAGCAGAGACTGAGTGCTGCATGCAACATGCCTAGTCACTGACAATCTGGGGTGCAAGAGGCTAGGTATTGAACCTGGATGTTCTATACAGCTGTGCAAAGATAGATTAATGGACTGGCTTATTCTCTCCTCCTTATTCTCTCTAGAAGTTCTTGTGTGTGTTTCCCAGCACCCCTTTATTACTTGCCATCTTTAACCTTGTTTCTCTTTACAGTTGTCAAATATCTTTTTGGATGCAGGCAGTTAGATAACCAAGTATTTGTAATGGTATACAGAGCTTGTCATCTTAAGGTCTTCAGTCTGAATCCAATCTAGATTGGGAATGTCTAAAATCATTATTGTCTGTCTGATGAGTAATTTGGTCTCTCCTGTTGCCCATGGGCAAGTATATACATCCTAAACCCCCCATTAGGATTAGCACCAGTTGACACTCTAACTGACCATTCACTTCAGAAAGGCCAAGGGTTGCCTGGGCATGGAGACCGATCTGTCTTTTCATGCTTGGGACTGCTTTCTCCAGTCAGGGTTGAAGTGAGTTTACTTCTTAAAAGAAGTATTGGATTGACAACACTGACACTAAGATCCTAAATTTATTAACACAAAAATTATTTAATATGTAATGAGAAAGCAAGCTTTCACACTCGGAATCCTGATTGGTGTACTTTAATGTGAGAAGGTTAATTTGATTTCCATGCCTATTCAGTGCTTGGCCTCTGTGCTGAGAATGCCAACAGTGGTGCTAATGGTGATGAAAGTTTGCATGATGTGGACATCTCTCTGTTAAACTATGGCTAAAAAGCACATTTATTTCATGTAGCCCATTGATTGGCCATGAGGTGGTAACAGGTGGGATTCACAATCTTGCCTAAAGAATAATTCTTAGCATTTATATAAAGCTTTACACATTCAAAGCATTTAGAAACATTAATTCTTAAAACTCCCCTAAGTGAGATGAGTATTGTTATCTCTGTTTACAGGCTTGTCTGCATGCAAGTTATACTGCTTTAACTATCTCAGTATTGTTAAAACAGTACAACCCCCTAATGTGAACACAGTTATGTTGGTGTCTTACACAGTATAACACATTCCCCTCTCCATACAGGAATAGGTATAGCAGGACAAAGCATCTTTATCCTGGTATAATTGGGTTTGTGCTGCTTTAACTTTATTGGTATAGTTAAAGCAGTACAACTTTTCAGTCGTAGGCGGACTGTCAGGTATCTTTATAGTTGTATAACTACGTCCACATGAGGGGCTGTACCGGTATAACTGTTTAAGTAAAAATTCATACCCCCTACTGAAGTAATTACACCAGTACAAAAACAGTGTAAACCAGGCCATGCAGCTGTGGAAACTGAGCCAGTGGGGTGTAAAGTAGCTTGGCAAAGGCTACACATCATTGGCAGAGCCAGGATTAGAACTAGGCACTTACTGACAACTAATCTCAGGCTCATTCCTCCAGACCCTGCTGCCTATACTTAAACCTATGACCTAATGGTGAAAGACTCTGTATGTCATTATCAGTCTCTTGAGGTATCCAGTCCAACAGCTGATTTTAATTTACAAAAGTTATTGCAAATTGTGTTGGGCTACCTTAATAAACAAAGAAATCATTATCAAGGTTTCTATCTTTGCTTTGGGCCTTGCAACAACAAAGTACGCAACCTAGGAAATTGTTGCTTATATACATACAGTAGCTGTTAAAAATAGAAAAGGACGTATACATCATCCCAGATTTAAAACCTCATACTTAATTACATTCTGTCAGATCCATTTGAGAAAATTCATATTCATAGGGTGAAGGCAAGTGGAATTTAATACTCTATATACAGTTTAGATATGACAGTTTATATATGTTTAGATTGCTTTCAGGAAACTAAAGGATTGACTACTGCATTGCTGTACTTTCTGTAATATTCTTGGATCAAAGTTTCGCATCCATTGAAAAATCAAACTATTGATGCTAATTAATTCTGGATGAACATTACTACTATTTCATTACTTTATTTTTAACAGTATACACTAAATCTGTTACACCTTGCCAGAGCCATTGCAGCTTTTTTATTATTAATGCCCCTTTGAGTCTCCTGAACAGAAATAGCACATGCTGAACTATGTTAATTTTTCTTCTATTTCATTCATTATCCCATGCTTTCCAGTTCACTCAATAAAAAGTCTTCTAATTAGTTTACCTGAAATAGATACATGAGTTGACCATCTAAAGGATTGATGCTATTTGTGTCATCTCATGGATCTTCAATATGTCACAATACATGTTCATTCCCTGGGCCTAGAAACTGATGGCCTAAATCTTACTGTGGATTTTCCAAGATTGAGGCTTCATACAGAGGTTTCTGTAATACACAGTAGACTGAGGGATTGAACAAAGACTGTCAAATAAATTTTTGTCTTGAGAGCTCAGACTGAAGTTGAACAAAGATCTTAGAATTAAAAAAAATGCTGTCCTCAGTCAAGGCAAATCCTTTTGTTACAGAAAAGCATATGTTGTTAAATAATTTATTAATTCAGCTAATCATGCTTTAGTTTTTAGGGCTTATGAAACAAAAAATAATATAAATCACAAAGGTTCATGAAAGCATGCCCACTTGCAGATAATAAATGAGTCATAAGACTACTGCAAGAAGGTCTTTCAGATGATTTTGAAGGTGTCTCAAGGTCTTCTTTACATGTGCATGTAACTCATTAATAGTCATTGAGATTTGAAAGCATAAAAAGGGAAGAATTTATCAATTCAGAAGACCTTAATTTTTAATATTTTATACATGTCTAAGAAGAGCTTGCACTGAAGAACGATAAAGAGAATCAGACCACCTATAGCCTGAGTAGATGTGACTAATAAAGTATATAAGCAGTAAACTAAAGTATCACTTAAAAATGTAAAAATTCCACTTGATCAAAACTTTTTAATTCAAGCCCTGGTGTAATGTTTCCTTGCATTGATCATCCAGAGCTCTATTGCTTTGTGGTAATTTTTATTGCTAATTAGTAACAGAAATTTGTTATGTGTTTTGGTTGGAATTTTCTAAAGCACTGATGGGAATTAGATGACCAATTCCTTTGAGTGCACCTAGGCCCATTTGAAAATCTTTACTTTGATTTATATAACTATGTACTTGAAAGTATTTTTTCATAGTAAAGATACAGAAGTGAACTGCTTACAAAATATTTTTTAAAATGAGAAAATAAGTGTAGGGCTTTCAATAGGATTTTATTTCAAATTTTACATACACCTCTACCCCGATATAACGCTGTCCTCAGGAGCTAAAATCTTACCGTGTTATAGGTGAAACCGCGTTACATCGAACTTGTTTTGATCCGCTGGAGCGCGCAGCCCTGCTCCCCCGGAGCTCTGCTTTACCGCGTTATATTTGAATTCATGTTATATCGGGTCACGTTATATCGGGGTAGAGATGTATTTTTATGCACTGTGTAAAACAGTAACTCAAACTGTTTTTTTAACTCTGAAAATGTGTGTGGTTGTTCATTGTAACAAAGTGAACCATTATATAGGAAAATAAGAAAATATATTTTACTTTTCAAAGACAAAATACTACAGTATTACTGAATATCTTTAAACATGATTTTTACCAAAACTCTTAGATGGTACCACTTGCTTATCCTTTAAAATAAGATATTTCAGTTCCTGTTTGCTTATTCTGTGCAGATTCTGTAGAAGAGCAGTTTACTGGTAGTCGCAAACATATTTATTGCCATTAATTATATTTTAGCTAGCTATGAATAATGGTTTGCAGTGTTAGAATCTTCAATTTTTTCACAAGTAAATGTTGAAAAAAGTTAATATTCATCTTTATTTTTTAAATCGTTCTCTCTTCTTCAGCAATGGAATTTTTAAAAATAACAACTTGCTTTTGTTTGCAATTTAGAGACAGTTAAATTTAGTTCCTGGACAGAAGGTTCTTTGATGTAAATTGTCTAAGACAGCTCATAATAACATTGCTTGGTGTTTTTCAGGCACAGTAGGGAAGGCACCAACAATACAAGCCAGCCAAAGTCCTGGGGGCTTTGGTGTTCAGGTCTCTGCAAATCAGAAAAACAAGTTGAATGACCCTGGAGGTGGATCTTTCAGGTAAAAACAAAAAACAACAACAACCCCCTTCCCCACACACACAATTTAGAATGGGCTTAACACCAGAGGGCAGTATTTTATAATAATTCCTAGATTTCCCATGCACTTTGATTGGATGGCAATCTGCTTATTTAGTTCAATGTTTTTTAAAAAAAGGAAAGACGCCAGATTTTTTTTCCCCAAATGCAGATTTTTAAAAAATATTTAATAAACCTTACAAATCACTTTTGTGAATATGAATTATTTTTTTAGTAAAGGAAGCTATGTAGATGAGGTTTTCATAAGGGTGCAATACAGCTATTTTTATTAATCAGATTGTAACACTCATATGAGATGTATCTTGTTGAGATGATCCTAATTGTGACAGCAGGGCATACTGTATGTAGATAGGCTTGTGCAGGTCAGCTGCAGGTATGAAGCCTAGGGAAAAAACTGTTCTTTAGAACTGAAGAGAGAAACTTCATTGCCTTATTTGCTGTTGATGTGATTTGTTTGCGTGGCACAACTTGGGGCATTCTTTGAGTTCCTGTAGTGGTCAGGACCTGCAGAAGTTCAGCCCAGTAGCATGGGTTTATTGAGCTGCTGTGCCTGTTATTTTGAATACCCTTCAAACTTTTATAAATCTTATTGTATGTTATAGGTTTTGAACATTTTTAATACTTGTAGTGGAAAGCTAATGTTATATTTGCTGCTTTTATCGCCCTCCCACCTTCATTTTAATTTTGTTTCATTGATGTAAGTGCATTTTAATTCCTTTTAAAATATTGCCCTTTTTTCCTATTTATTTGCTAAAATGGGAAAGTATTTTTAGACAGTCACATTCTTCCTTTAGGATACTTACTTTGATCTGACCTCATCAAATCAGTAATTAATTGACCAGTTTAGACTTTTACAGGTAGAGTAAAAGAGAATTTGTAGGACGTTGTGAAATATCTCTGCTCTGAGGCATGTCAGCATTGCAACTAATAGCGGTAGTACTTAGTATTAATCTAGAAGCAAAATCATTCAATTTTTTATTTTCCAATGCACTTGCCTCCCACTGAGTATTTAAATGATTTAAAATGTATGTTGGGTTCAATTGTACTGTCTTAATAAATATTTTTTGTATTAGTAAGCAACGTAGGCATTTATTCTTCGTTAGCATGGCTTTCAATTTTACATACACCAAAAGGGACAGCATTTTTTTTTTTTTTACTGGATGTTGTAAATTGTGCCAGGATTGATTCTTTCATTCACTTAGTTTATACGTAGAATATATTAGATTAGTTGGAATTGTTAATTTTCCCTAGGGGAGAAGCAAATGCTCAAGGCACTGATTGATAAATCAATAAATCTTTAGTGAGTTTGGTAAATAAGCTGTCAAGGGTGTATGTCATTTTTCCTTTAGAGAACAAATTTTAGTCAGAATGAATGTGTTTGTTTTCTTGCATTGTTTTCTTGTTCAAAATAGTAAGACACAATGCTGAATTTAAATAAATCCACAGAATTGCAAGGATTTATTAAACAGTAGTAGAAATGGAGTTTTTTCTTGATATCTTAACAAAGGATTCTGTTGTTTGCATATTTGCATTTCAACCCCTAACCTCTCCTGAGGACAAATAGATGTCTGACTATTAAGCCTAAAGGCATAGAGCTGGAAATCTGTATTAATCCTCTGAATGCTGACTAGTTTTCCTCAACATTCCCAGCGTGTGTGAAGAATGTGTTTGTAGCCAGAAGGCAAACTGGCATCTAAGCAGAGCAAAAATTTTGAAAAATAGTTGTGTTATGTATAAATTCATTTTACCCTTGGTGCTTTATTATTGCATATTTGTTTCATTATTTCATACTCTTTCTTTAAAATAACTTACTTTAGTTTTTCTGTCTTATGGGCAAAGGGTTGGTCACTAGTAATAGAAATGTGAACTTTATTTTTCTAGACATTTTCTTTTAATCATGTAAACACTAAGTCTATCATATCTTGCTGAACTATTTTTTCCAATATAAAAAGTTGTTTACTGAAGTGAGTGTGAGGGATTTATACATGCGAGGCACATATGAACTGAGGGTTTCACAAGTGGTAGCTTAGCCTTCAATATTGACAATAATTATTATGGTAAAAGTTAGATTCACAGTGCATTGTGGAGTGATGGTTAGTGCTCTATAGTTAAGATGGAAGCTAGTTTCCCTTCATAAACCCAGTTGTCAATCCCCTAACTTCCCCAAAATAAAACCCACATAACTTCATATATTGTTTTATCTTAGGTAAAAACTCATCCTGGCTAAAATTTGTCAGGGAAAAATGTGAAGTACCCCATTCATGTGTATGGTGTCGTTACCTGTGATGATACCTAAAGATGAACATTATTGCCATAGGCAGGCTCCAATCTTGTTTGGGGGCCTTTGGGCGCTACTATAATACCAAAAATATAATAGTATTTCCAAGTATTGTATTTCTGCAGTCGGGGAGGAGAGACAAACAGAAGTCTCCTTGAAATCCATGAGGGGCCACACCATTGTGATCTAATCTGCTACTGGGGTTCTCAAACTGGGTGTCCGGACCCCTCAGGGGGTCATGAGGTTATTACATTGGGGAGTCGCGAGCTATCAGCCTCCACCCCAAACCCTGCTTTGCCTCCAGCATTTATAATAGTGTTAAATATATTAAAAAGTGTTTTTAATTTATAAGCGGGAGTCTCACTCGGAGGCTTGCTATGTGAAAAGGGGTCACCAGTACAAAAGTTTGAGAACCACTGTGCTATGCTAATCTGCCAATTCTACAATCTTGGGAAGTATATATTAAATTCTTTGATAGTTGGATTTATAAATTGAGATGATAAATGGCTAACTGTAATGACAAGTGTTTGGAGATGCAATAGTGACTCCATAGTTCAGATTGCATTTACATTTACACATTAAGCATGGTTTACATTGTTTTTTGTTTGCATAAGCATAGTGAATAATATAGGTTATCCTACCCAAATTTACAGCACTTACTCTTTGAGTACAGAATTAATTTTCTGAAAATTTGATTTTTTCACTTCTTTGTGTACGTTGGGAGGGATAATATTGTTGAATTGAAAGTTAGTGTGTTAGACAAGGTATTAGTGTTTTTGGATGGTTGAGTATCATAATGGCAGGGTGGGCGTGAATGTATGCCTTTACTTTGTTTGTTGGGAATAAATGTATTAAGACTCTACTTAACACTAATTTCTGTGGCACGCTACTCCTCGCCCCATCACAACTTGACGCGCGTCTGTTTGTTCATTGACTATGGTTCCTTATCCAGTTTTCAAATCAGATGAATTAATTGTCCATATCCAAGCTATCATGAATTATGTTGTAAATAATTATTTGAGGGACAGGTCTGAATGGAAAGAGTAACGCTTGATTGGATAGATATATTGCAATTAAATTAGGGCTGTCAATTAATCGCAGTTAACTCACGATTAATTCAAAAAAATTAATCGCGATTAAAAATTAATTATGATTAATTGCACTGTTAAGCAATAGAATACCAATTGAAATTTATTAAATATTTTT